AGAATTCTTCGAAGGGCAGTTCAACTGGCCTGCTGCTCCGGCAACATCGGTCAGACTGTTTCCGTAACAACTATCGGGGGATAAGTCTACTTCCGATTGCGTCCGGGCTATTGTCTTCTGTCATACTTCGTAGGTTGTTCATAACCCGAGAAAGATTTACGCGCAAGGAGCAGGCTGGTTTTCGTTTCGGTCGAGGATGTATTAATCATATCTTCACCCTCCGCAGATTTTTGAACTCCGTCATACTTATCAAAGGCCAACAATCGTAGTGTTTCTTGACATCAGGGCTGCCTTCGATTCGTTGAACAGGACTGTTTTCTGGGACTGTCTATTGAAGAAGCGTGTGCCTGAGAAGTTTAATAACATCCTAAAGGCCCCATATACAAACACCTCAGGTAGAATGAATACATACAACCACCTTTCTCCATTGTTCCATTCGAGCAGTGGGGCTAGACAGGGTTGCCCAATCTCATGTATGTATCTAGGTAGCTGCATAAGTGCTGGTGGTGGCGTGAGTGATGAGATCGATTCACGTATAATGAAAGCCAGAACGGCTTATGCCAATCTGGGCCATCTTTGACGCCTTCGTGATGTCAGTCTGGCTGTAAAAGGTCGGATCTACAACGCGTCGGTGAGAGCGGTTTTGCTCTATGCTTGTGAAACCTTGCCTCTCCGAGTTGAGGACGTTAGACGACTCTCTGTGTTTGATCATCGTTGTCTCCGAAGGATTGCTGACATCCATTGGCAACACCATGTCAGTAATGCAGAGGTTCGGCATCGTGTGTTCGGGCGTAGAGACGATAATGTAATTGGTGTCACCATCTTGAAACACCGACTTCGGTGGCTTGGACATGTTTTACGAATGTCGTCCCAGAGAATTCCACGTCGTGCATTATCTGCCGACTCTGGGACTGGTTGGAAGGAGCGGATAGGTGGTCAGTGCATGACATGGTGTCGTGGCATGAAAGAAAGCTGCAAAGGACTGGCTTCTGTTGATCCTTCATCACTCCCTGGTTGGCGTCCTAGAGATGGTGCAACACAGTGGCTAGTGACGTTATCACATATGGCTCAGAATAGAAGCCAGTGGCGATCCTGCTGTAACCTTCTTTTACTTTCTTCATGAAAAGTGGTTGTGTCTTCCTTAACTGAAAGATTTGTTCTGATTGTACCTTTCCGTTTCCCCCATTATTACTATTATTATTATTATCACACTACCTTACACTAGTCTGTTCGTTATTGTCCTTTTTTTACACTCATTACCTTGTTTTCTCCCCATTCTCATTGTTTTGTGCGGCGCATATATATTTGGTGCCCTCTTGTACCAATATTCATGTGTAATACGGCTCAACAAGCCCAATCAAGGTTGAATTAGAGACCCAGAAGTCACGTGGTTAGCGAGTAGTAGTTCAACAGTTTACATTTCTTACCTTAGCCAATTTGAAATATTCTCAGTCGTCATTCAGTGGTATCCGTCTCACTTTTTGCTGTTGAGTACTCAGAAACTAAGATAAAACATATTTAGAGTTTGTTTGTCAACCCGAAGTTTGTCCATCATTTGGGTTATCTTCAGAATATCTTTTTGTTAATGAGGCTATAATCATATTAAATAAATCCAAAGCAACTTTTCACCAATAACTACTGTTTCTAACAAAAATTGCAAATTACATAGTTTAATCACTTTAGTTTTTTTCGTCCCTTAACGTATACAATTTTATATACACTATCATTATTTAGTAAGGATAATCATCTAGTTGGATAATAATGAAAAGTACGCTACTTGATATGAATGGTGTTACAAACTCTTATTACCATTTTAATAGACACTGTAATCACCCTCCCTCTCGGTACCGTAATTAAACTTAAATCAACTATACATAAGTATCTTTGTTTATGTTGCCAAAGTTTACCGCTAAAATGTATCGACTAATCAGTAACAGGTTATTTACAGTTATTTTTTAAAAGTAGTCTCACTGTATGTACAATGGCTTACAGCTTGAAAAGAAAATAATTAGCTATTTAGTCGAAATAAAGAAATACACATTTCATATTCCTACTTTTAGTTAAATCATGTCAACAATCTTGAAAAATGTAAATACAGACTGATAATGATTTTACTCTGTATATATTTATTGTAAAGAATATTTCTGAAGTATTCCTTAATGATCTATGATCCAATGGCTGTATGTTGTACTGCATTTACTCAAACTATTCGGAAGATTGTAATGCCCCTTATGTGTTAACTGTAGTTCACTTATATTTTAGAATTATTGATCAACGAAAAATTAGAGTTTTAACTCTGCTTAACACTTATCACGATATAAATGTTACTATAAAGCATTGTTACCACCATCTTTAATGAGTCATAACAATTTATAAAGCATAATCTCTTGTTTCAACCAGTTAGTCAGTCATTATCAATTTAGAGTTTGGGTCAAATGTGCATTGGTTCCAGTTACCATACCATTTTAGCACGACAAGGTGAAATGAATAAGTTAAATACCAAAAGCAATCGAAATAATGTAATATCAGTGATAATGGTAATGGGAATATGCTTCAAAAAAGTATGTGTGAAGAAATAAATAAATCCAACGTTGATAGGAAGATAAAGAGTAAATCCATCAGCAAATTATCCCGTCGTTTACTTTATGTGTATTTGCAGCCCATATCTCAACTACGATATGTATTTTTTACAGTACCGTAAAGCATAAACATAGACAAAGTAAGAATTAGTGTGATATTTATTATATAATGGTCAAAATTGTGCTTGACTACCAGAATCAAAATTGATTAAGCCAATACCTTAAGAGTCAAATACAAAACCGATAAAAATTACAAAATAACAATGACCGATTATTCTTATACAGTTATTTAGATCTAACAAACATTTGCATTTCGAAGTGTAGTTAAAAATCATTTATGAAATAGTAATTTTTAAACATAATCTAGTTGTGTGCGCACTAAACTTCTTTTCATGTGCCTACCTGTTCATGTTTCTTTCCAATATTCAATTATTAAACCAAGTATATTTCAAATTCTAAACAGATTTTGTTTATTAACGAAAATTAAATGAACCTATAAATTAGCTTTTATGTAATGTAGTGACACAGTGATTTGATTGCACTTTTTTATACACAATATGTTACATTGATATTCCTCCTACTTTTTTCCTTTATTTCTCTCTGTTACTGAATAACTGATTATGTGTTAATTGTAAATATCTAAGTAATTTTTTATTATTTATTTATCTTAATTCTTTTCTTTTCCTTTTCTCAATTTAGCTTCAACAGATGGTCTGGATTACTTATTCCAATTGGTGTTGTAGTAGTAGCGATCATTGTGTATAAATGTTTCTTATAAGTAAATTGTTATCTTTCTGTGTTTTTATCTACCTGTATGGCTTTCCTCTGTGTTTCTGTTTACTCCCTGTGATTTTGCTGTAGATCTTTTCTTCTGTTTAATATTGGTCCGTGTATTTTCTTGTTGGATTTTTTCCTCTGGTTGAATATTTGTTAATATGTTTGTCATAATAAATGAAGAGACAATCAACAGTTTTTTACATGTCTGATAGCTTCTCTTTTGTTTTAAAGTTTATGTGTATGCATTGTGTACGAGTACATGTGTGTGTGACTGGCTGTTTGTTTTAGAGTACATATGAACGACAAACTCGAAACTACTTTAGTGCAAAAATTTGCAGTTATTCGTAATATTGATTTGTATATAGGATTATAAGGATTCGTGCGAACCTTTGACGTCTTGTGTTCAACAGTAATTTACTTTAGTCTATGTTCTAACATTCACGATAGAAGTGTATCTAAATGTGACAATGCAATGAATATTGATTTTATTTGATCTTCTGTAGATATATAGAGACAAGTACAAACCTAAAACTAATTGTTAGTGCATTTTATATGTCTGTTTCTGCATTAAACGACGGAGCGAAAAAATTCAAATTTGGTAACCTCTTTATAGTCATGCGTTTGAAGATTAGGTTATTTTTAGAAACTAAAGATCATAGATGACTGGAAGTAATCTCCGGGAAACTCTAGACCTAAGTTTTATGCTAGTTAGGACTTGTTAGGAACGAGTATGCTCACCCTTATGGGAACTGATTCTCTACAGCGTATAACGTTACTACCGAGTTATTCAGATCGAGATGTTTGTCAGCCGTAATATATGTATATATATGATAAGTAATGTGCTCAATTACGTTTTGATGATTTTGGCTTTTTGATCTAGGAGTTAATTCTGTTTTATTTTTAAATTTGTCGTAATGCGATTTGGCAGATAAAACCATAACTAATCGCTTTAGAAATAAATATTACCAGAAAGTTATGTAGACAGTAGTGGGGTCAACTTTTGCCCCGGTTGTTTTTACCTCTGAGTAACATCAAAGTTTAGATTCTGATCATTATCGTGAATTTTCCCTATAATCCTAAGGAACTTGATATAGTCAGCGAATCATTTAGAGAAGGGCCATACAAAATAGTTTACAATAATTTAAGTAACTAAAGTAAGATCATGCACTGGTAATAAAGACATTGAAAAGTTTAGTTTAAATATTAACACGACTTAAGTAGATTTCATTTTTTTAGAGGTACGTTTCTCTTTTCCTGCAAATAGACTAGAACTATAAGACGATCGCCATTGATTTAAATTGAGTCATATCTGATAACCTGTAAATTCATTGATTTGCGCTATTTCTGGGACCTTAATAAAGGAGTCGCTATGAGTCGACAAATGCTATTACATCACAATATCATTTATAAACTTTCCTTTCTGTTATTCTCTATACATTCTCAGAGTTAGCCGCAAAGTAGGTATACTACATTAAAAAAAACTAAAAATAATTTTCTCGAAAACACGATTTCTACATACGTGATTCGATGCACACACCATAACTCTTATCATTACTAGCTTACAAGACTTTTAACTTAAAGGTTTTATACATAGATTTACCAAATTCTTCTCAATTCAGGTCTGACAGCAAATATTCTAAAAATATGAAATTAACTGAACTTTTATACCATGGAAAGCGTTTACGTCATGATAAACTCCAGTTCATGACTAATCGTTATTGGAATAAAAAAGGTTCATATTTGAAGGTTTCCCGTTTACGTTTTCCCGAAGAAGTTGCGAATAGTCCAAATAATCCTTTAATAAAAGCAGAAAATATGTTTAAATCAACCAGATATGATGATGCACTTTTGAACGAAATTGAAATAGGAATTACTGCAGATGAAGCTAAACATTTAGAGCAACAGAAATCCGAGAGACTTCAGTGTTTTCATCCTCTCTTCGGAGATGTCCGCTTTCACCAAGATTCTGAACCATCACTAATATTTTCTAGTAAACGACGTTTCTCAAAGGGTGTAGATCAAGCTAGTCTTCTAACAAATGTAAGTTTTAGTGTTTTAGTTACTTAGTAAAGTACATTATAAATTGATTTTTTTCTAAAACATTTAATGTTTATTGATTGTTTTGAAGTTGAACAATCATTTCAACTGTGAAAATCAGTGGAATGCGTGCATAATTTATAACCCCAGCGTGTAAATCGCGAGAACTTCAAAATTTCGACTTAGAAATCGGTTCATGGTGGCATCAATATTCTTATTAACACAGTATTTCCTACCATCACTGGTTTACCTTATTGGCTCGACTATGACCCGTCGTTAAACCCCAATGATGCTTTTGTCAAATACTAATGGGCAACGGATATTAAGTCTAATACCACTTTGGTTCCATCTGCAGGGGAGACATTGTAGTATCGAAGTTTTTGCAGTTCGCTATAAATCCAGTCCTGGTTTCGAACCTTCAAGGTCCATCGAGTCACACCCATACAACACATCAGCCAGAGAAGAAACAAAAGCCACTATCCATAAGCCGGAATTATGGATCATGGGATTTTACCAAATCTTATTTGCACAAAAAAATGTCGAGGCAGTAAATTTAGCGTAATGAACTACAAAGATAAATACCAAAGCCGCAACGTATACCGAAAAAATTCGGGAAATGAACCCATCCATAAAACAAGCCAGTGGGGCCATCAATGTGTATATCGGCAAATACTGCCTTGGTGGCCTGTAAATACATCACAGTTGGCGTTAGTCATCAGTCTTTCCATCAACAGCTAGACACGGCTTTGTTTATCGGTTCGCCTCTTGCTTATCTTTTAAATGTCTTCGAGGTACAATCATGCTCATGTGGCTCCAGTCTAAATAACCATCACTTTCTTCATAGAGAAAAAGAATATCCGCGATCTACACAACCATGGTAGGTTAAGAATCCTACGGACCGACTCTTAATTATTCCAATAAAGGGTGACTTCAAATCGGGCTACTGGGAAGTGTCAGTTACTGATGGAGATTTTTATGAATATAGATGTCTGATTGTTGATAAAAGCTGCATTAGTATGACCCCTTGAAATTGTCACGAATACAATAATTTCTGTGACCTGTAGGTGCTACTACCATAATTATTATTGTAACATTTCATAACTTAGTGTTTATAACCTTCTTAGTGTGGCAACACCGCGCGATTTACACCTATTTTTATCTTGTGCTATTTGGTCTCCTTAGTCTCACATAAATCTACAGTTTGTATTAGACGTTTCTCAAGTTCTTATTTTGGACTAAATCCACAAATCATAACAAATGGTAGATATGTTAACTTACTCATATATAGTTCTCAGTTAACTTATGCAGTTGTGGTTATCTTTCCCATACTAACTTAAACATAGTATGAAGATTTATTGTGTTGATGCTCGTAGTTTTGTTTTCTGAACAATTTTAGGATTGTAGTCCGATATTGTCACTTGAGGAATAGGTAGAAAAGGGACGTTGTTGCTGATGTGAAACCTCGTTCATATGCAAGATCTTCACGTGCCTTCTAAAAGTAGGTTGTACCATGAAACAATCAGCTATATTGTTTACGTTCTGTAGATTTCGGGTGTGCTTTTACAGATCTTCCCGATCGATCCTTACACCTAGTGAAATGTTCGCAAATTCCTAGACACGAATAGTACTTCAACCCTACAGTATTGTGAGTTGGTTGATCACATAATACTCAAAGTCGTTCAGTACTGATTGAAGTAAATTTATGTAGTGGAAAAGCTGTAGGTGCTCGGAACTTGATGTTATCAATTCATGAACTCTTTCATAGTTGGAGTTATGTAGGGAGGTGAAATCCTCTTTGATAATGTCCTCTGGAAAGTGTAAAATGATAGTCAGAAAATTCAAATTACATGTATCAGAATCAACCATTTGTCTGCCGAATCATGTACATTTCGCTATTTATTTTAAATTTCCAACATTTTTGCTCGCTTCCTATTTTGTTGGTTTTTTTTCATTATTGGTACAAAGTGTCGAAAATTCAGCCGTGCCATGGTACATTGTATGTCGATTTGCTCACATGCCCTTCTTTTCTAATACAAAACAATAAACTTCGCTGAACTTTTCCTGATCAATCTTCGTCAGTGTAGATAAAGTATTTTACAAGATATCTGAGTATTGCTCCATTATGGTTCTGTTCAATTTCACAATTGGTTTAATTGGCTCAATATCTTTATTTTTACTGTACTTTTCAAAATCATGTTTTTTACTTGTCATTTTGATACGGCTGCAATTAATACAAATAAACATTTACTTCATTTTCATTTTTACAATTCTTTCTTTGTTTATCTTATCCGTAGTTTCGTTCTGTTTCAGTTTAAGACACTTTGATATTTATTAGCTTTCATAACCGTATCTTCATATCATATCTGGTGTTCCTGATTATTTTTTATTTCTTTAGACTGTCGTTACATTGGGTGCTCCACCGACATTAAATAATCTCTTTGACAAAATTGATGAATTAAATAAACTTGTTGATACAAACAAGCCAATCGCAGATTGGAGATCTTCCTTACGTTTATCTGTGGAACGGTCAATTCTACATGCTCATGTTTGGCAAACGGATGAAACTAAACTGCCTCGTCGATTTCACCAACAGTCAAATGTTTGGAAACATAAGCCTGAGTATGGAATCCATCCGGAACAGAGTACTCGTTATTTGTTCCACAATCTATTTCGTATTTTGGAATTTCAAGTGAGTTATTTATGAATATTCATTATTTTTTCAGATTAAATGTACATTATCGAGATAGAAAATTTGTGTAATGTAGTCAGTTTGATGGTAGTTTTCATCAAATGAAGAGCTATCAAGAATCAAAGGGAACTGATCGGCCATTTTGTCCTAGTTGGTATTCCTTTATGATAGGTCTAAATATGTCAATGTAAAGTTGAAAGATAAAATCCCGTCCACTTTACGCAAAATTGTAATTACAGAATAGGTTGTGTGGATTGTGATGCGTTCTACATTGGAGAGTGTTCCCGTGTGATCTTGACTCGTACCAAGGAACATGTACGTTACACAAAAAGACCTCCTAATAATCCTTTAGAATTGGAAAATTTACAAGTTGAATCAGCAATAGTAGTAAATGCTACTTTCAATAATCGCCGAATTGATACTAAAAATATAATAATTCAGAAAGTTTTCTCCAACTATAAAGAGAGGCGAGTAGCCGAAGCGTTTCACATAATACTAAATTCTTCTGCCCTCAGTAGGAAAGAAGGCCTAAATGTTCATCCAACCTGGACTTTTCATCCAAACAACCACAATTAACCTTATTTATTTACCACAGAATCTGCAGACTCACACGCAATCTCAATCCCACTACTTCATATTGCAAATGCATAGATTTTACATACCCAATTTCTAACACACAAATTTGTCTTGACCGAAACTAACTTTACATTGACATATTTAGACTTATAATTTTGATTGTATTAAATATATTCTGCACTGTTTCCTTTGTACTATTTAAAATTGTGTTAATTTAACGTCGGTTATTTATTTACTCTAAAGAAGTGGTACACATTAAGTCACGAAACGTCGGGAATACAGTTTTCTACTCATTGGGATATCACAATTAGTATTTATCATTGATAGATCAATACTTTATCTGGATTATTTCATCTGCTTTTTTATTAGATTGTTTGCTTTCTTTCCCTTTGTTTATTCATTATGTGGTTATGTTTTTTCCGTGTACTGGCAGCTGAATTATATTACGTGTAAAAATTATAGTCATTATTATAGATTAGTTAAAAATAAGAGAAAAGTTTTCTTGTTGATACTGGCTTTGACCTTTGCGTTTATAGACAGTTGTCTTTTTTTATACCAAACCACATTATATATGTGGTTTGGTATGAATAATTTGTATGCATGTTTATGAATGTGATGGTTATACATTACAGTCTTAATAAATAAATATGGCCGATTAAAGATATCTCATCATTCTGTGAATTTCTTTACTGTCGTTCTGAGTTAATTGCGTGCTACCTGGTTGGGCTCTGCTAGATTATTTTGATGTTGAGGTGACAGGGCTCAGAATCATCGACAATGACACAGATCCATTCCTTTTTTTTAACCTTATCTTAGGATCTGAGTTCTTGAATTATTTTATTTCTTAGTTATGTACATCAATTTTTTATCTTTGAATTGTATACCTTATCGCTAATGCTTTCTTACTATCATTTATACTTCTGCTACATTGGTCTTTATCTTGATGATTTTATCTGTATCGATGTGGCGTTGTGATTTCGACATTCTAACACGTTAACTCAAAAGATCTTTTGAATGAACACTTGACGCCGCCAAGTTATATGTAATCCTAACCAAACCAGTGCATACATAACAAATCAAGGATGGGTTACCGACAATGGGCTCCTCTGTGTTTATATACCAAGTCAGCTGCTCCTGTAGGGCTAGTTACATAGGCTGTACTCAGAGGGCTTCATCCTCGTGAACATGTACCAGGTTAGTTGGGAAAAGGGGTCACAGAATCTATTGGCAGCTCCATCCTTTCTTCCTATGTTTTGTACCAAGTCCCAAACAATTTACCTAAGGTTACCTGGATTACGACTTCTACTTAGCTATAGGTATCTGAATCAACTCCGGAAAACCTAACTTGTTTGTCTAGAGGAGATATATCCAACCTCTATGTATACCTTGGTCCACAACTGGATCGCCCGTTACATAAACTGGATATTATAGACCTCTTATCCCCCTCCCAATTCATTTTGTGTTCATATCTTGATCTATACATTCATCTTTGCCAATTCACATGGATTTTTTTATCACAATTGCTTTGACAACACTTCTCTTATTACATATTATATTTACACACCATCATTATTAATGTTGCCTCCATTTACGAAGCAAAATTTTCCTGCTATGCATTTTATTCACACGATTTACTGTTTTAGTATTATATCGATTGTAACTTGACACTTTACTATAGTTCATTCTGATCTTTAATAGATAACTTTTCTGACTTTCAAATAACAGTGTCTTGAAGTATTTATGTCGTAACAGATTCAAAAGTCCACTATTTTTAATATGTGACATTGTCAAATTCATTAGTGGTCTCTTATTTAGGGCCTTGTAAAATATCGCAATAATTGTGAACTGTAGAACCGGATGCTGAATTTATTAAAAATAATTGTTCGCTTAAATATTCTCTGTTTTTGTAAGTTATTAATTTGCATTAAATCATAAGGCTTATCTTCTCATTATAGCCTTAAGTAACGTTAATGATAGTACCATAGAGTATTTTTTTATTTAGCAAAATAATTCTTGGTGATGGGTTTTTTATTAGTTGGTTTAAGTGCTACTCTAAACATTATTGATTGCATTATTTTCATTATTCATATAAGCTTACCAGATAGTTTTTTGTTAAACTGTCACTACCTGTCTAACGCTGTCCTTGGACTTGAAATGGTGTTATTTTTTTATTGGTCAATATTTACTTTACGTGTCCTTTTTCTTACTGGTCAGTATTGTACAATGTTATTTTCTATTTTGTGGTACGATGTTGTCTGCTTGATTAGTATATAAACGGTGTGCTTGAAATATAACGATTCATATATCCGAGGCTGAGACTTGCGTTCTGGACTCAACTGGTTGGGCTAGACAGGGGAGCAGGACCAATCAGAACCCTAGGTCGTTCTTACGTGTTTGCGCGTCTTTGGTCCGATCGATAATTCGCTGTCCTCTAATCTGCTGTCGTCACAGTTATAGCACTACCTCACTATGTTGCGCTAGTAATAACTTTTGTTTAGTACCGATGATTACCAAGCAATTCGTTTGTATTTCATTAGTTAAAAAGTTTTGAGCATTGAGTACTTGCAATTCATTTGCATTTCCCAATGGGTGAGCGAAAAAACAAAAATATGCTTCTACTGACGTTTTACTATTTAATGCTAATCACTTTATCAAAGTAATATTATTTTGATATAGCTCTTAGCATTGAATAGCGGAATGTTTCAGTTGTAAACGATTTTGTTCCGTTTTATTCATTCATTAAATAAAGGCAAATTCGCAATCTTATCATTTCTTCATTGTAATAAAATTGTGTTATCTAAATAGTTTCGTCGCGGCATGTTATTATCTTTTTCGACATCATCAGCGTACATTTCACATCCAGTTGTTGGTTTGACCGATTTACTTGTTGTATGTATTTTTCTTTCTGTTTCGAGAAATTCACTATTTTTACAGATACATGTTATATGAGTAATTTTCCCATTTTAAATGTAACTAGAAAATTCTTGTAATGATTGTTTATCATTATCATCATCGTTGTCTTCGTCCCATCTATGTATCAGTGAAAATCTTATATTTTCGATTATAATTTTCCGCTGAACTTCAGTTTCAAGTCATAAATTTTAACTACATTTCTTTTATTGATTATCTTTATTAGTTGGTTATTGAGTTCTCATTTTAATCTCCAACTTTCAAAATTATTCTGTCTGAGAAGTTCATAAAGATGGACACATAAACCGTTGTATGTCGGCTCGGTTGTTTAAAGGTTAAGCGCATGCTACAAGTTCTCAGGGTCTTAGGTTCGATCCCAGTTTTGATCATGGATGCTCACTCTCGAGAAGTGCTAATCTAGGATGAAACAGCTTTCCTAAAATTTTTAGCTTCCAAAGAAAGTCAGCCTTTGATTCAAATTGTGATGTAAAATGAGACTGCTATCCAATTTTTTTTCATCATAGATTCTACACTAAATCAATTCCTCATTATTCTAATGTGTATGTTTTTATTTACTTAGATGAAAGAATAATTAATCAAGTTTAGTTAGTCGCCTTAAGGAGACTATACTTTGTTTGATTATTTTTTTAGAATTTACATAATAGACTAAATAATGCATATTCATCATTTTTTCCTGCCTATGTTATGATCTAAATATTAAGGGTTTGTCAGTTGGGATTTCCTACTGGCAATCAGTAATTTTTATCTTAATTATCTAATGGATTTATTTCTTGAAAGGTTTCCACAATTTCCTATTCTTCATTAAACAGAAGCCAATTATTATGATTGTCAACGAATCTATTTGGCTGCTATGTGATTTGATTAGTGGCTCAAACATATTTCATCATAAGTCACACTCGCTTCTTATTTATGTAAATGTCGAATCTAATGTTTTAATTGTAAGAGATTTAACTATACTGGTTATTTCATTGACTGATACGACAGATTATTGACGCTGAATTTCATAATGGTGGTTGACAACATGTTGTATTTATATTCTTATAAATTAAATATGATACTCATCCGAAATATTGTTTCCCCTTACCATTTTCTACAAATGGTGATATTTGTAAGTGAGAATACGAACAACTTGTAATCTTGAATAGTTTATCATTCAAATTGTCTATCTAATTCCTATCAGTTTTACTTATTGTAGTTATTGCTGACTGCTTTACAGATGTTCCATATTCCTTCAATGCTCATGTATTGGTTTCTGTTTTACTGTAAATAAAAAATATGCGCACCTAGCTGATGAGTCCCAAATGGGATAAAATGAGCGTCCTTGACTCCACCGCTAGCCACATTCCATCTGTTGTGTGTCTGAATAAGGTTTTATGCTGTAAGTCCTTTTTATAAAGGATCGACTTTTTTATTTTTTGATCTAACATTTTTCGTCATAATTCCACCTATTTTATTACAAACTATTTTAGGCTCCTAATTATATGAATTATATTGGCCTAACTCCTATCGAAAATCCGCTCTCCGATAGTTTGCCTTTCCGCTGGACCACACGAGATCGTCTGTTGGAAACATTCTATTATTGGGGTCCAGAAAAACGTCGTATCAGTTTTTCGGAACAACATGATTTGGTAGTTATGGGTCAGATGCCAGCCCCCCTCTTTCTGAATAATCATGATACTATTCAAAAATTCAGTAATATCGCTACATTACCAGTTGCAAGCTTTGGTCCTATGTCACCTTTAATTGATCTTACCAGTACTTTGTATTATCGTGAAGACAGTACTAATGGATGGCTTGAAAGTCAAGTAAGTTGAATCTCATACCTTCTGATCTAGTCTGAAACAGTTTCTGTACACCTTTGTTTGAGCTGGTGCTATCCTCAAAATATAATCTTCTTTTTATCGTGAAGTTCTTCATTACAGATATGAAGCTGTGAAACACTTTCCTTTAGAACATATATTATACCTGCTTATTAACTCACCATAAATTGAAATGCTTCAGTATTTCTTCAGTTGAAGTGTGAGTTCAGTGCAGAGTAAATACTACAATCTTATAAATAAATAATATATTTGTAACATCCAAGTGAGTAGAAAAACAAGATTTTCTGACGAAACCAAAGGACGCGCAGTGGAGAAGGCGTGTGAACTAGCTCCGTTTAATCAAGCAATAATCAATATTTATATCCAGATAAAAATAAGTTACAGACATGTGATGAATAGGATAAGAAGTGTACACGCATACGCTCATATAAAAACAGTCAGGGTTGAAAAGTGAATAATTAACAAAGACAAAACGCGACTCAAGTAGAACGGATAAATTGGCTTGTTCAGAAGCTAGAATAAGTTATATGGCCTTAACATAGCAACGACACTACAAACATTCCGCTCAGATAAAATCTATTCAATGTTTTTTCAATCCATTTATTATATTTATCTATACAATAATACATATTATATATTTAATTAATATGTACATGGGTGTGACATTCTGTATTAGAATAGAAAAGTTGTCCAATACTCTATGGTTTTCAGTGCCTTCCTTGACAAATGTCAGTTAATGATATAGTTTGTTCTAAATAATCTAAGCATTTTTTAAAATAACCTTATGTTGTTTCCTCATTTTGCTAGGTAGATAGATAATTTTTATTCTATACTGATTCATAATTTCAGTAACACATAAAGCAAATGACCTATTCAGAGATTACTTGCTAATTGAACTGATTTGAATTCGTCAGTAAGCAGAAAGTATGAAAATGTCTAGTTAGTAAAATAAATGTAGTTTTTATGGTATAACTCAGGCGGATAGGGTTCGTAGTGTAGCATTCTTTACGTTGAATAGCTTCGTTGAGAAGCTGACATTACTATTCTTAGGAAGTTTGAAATCTGTAAGAATAATATTAATGTAATTATTATAGAATATGTTAGTCAATAGAAAAAATTAATATCAGTTTTTTTAAAGTGAGATCATGAGCCGATCATTGTTAGACCACGATTGAAATCCTGAAAGCACTGGACGGTTATTTCGTAATGGACTCTCCAACAATGGACATCCGTGAATAGCTTTGAGAGGTAGTGTAAGCCACTTTTTCAGAGAATAATTAACCAAATCAAAATAATTCCAAGTTTAAATGGTACAACGGAACAAGAAGTATATTCTTGTTGTTTACTATTTATTTATAACAATCTACCCAATGCTCAATTTATTCGAAATTATCACGTCAAACCTTGGGAATGATACCTACTACAACCTTATGTTTTCAAAACGTGACATGAATTCACTAAGTTGTTTTTCCAAATCGATGATAGAAGTGTAAACATATTAGATATAAAGAATCCATATATGTAGTTTAAGGTTCACATGAGAAGAATAAGATCATTTCGGTTTTTCTTTTACATCTTTCTGTTTTAGACTTATTTCTATACCTTCTTAGTGTTAACAGAGCGAATAAAGTTACTGGACATTGACCTGTATCATTTTATAACTAGGCTAGCTATCAGCCAAAAGACAATTCAAGTATGGGAACTGACAGTTTATGTTCTTAAATCAGTTCATCAGAATGGTTCCTGTAATACTCCAGTTTATTTAAGGGAACCGAAGTACGATTGATTGTATAGTTGTGATTCGCCTTATAACGATAGTTGTTCACAAATCAACCATAAATGGAGTAAATGTAAACAAGGTGAATGTATAGAAGTAATCGGTAAGAAAAGTGATAAGAGCATCCGAGGCACTCTCTGCGTGTACGGAGCATTTTCTTCGTGACCAGAATAGCATCTTTCCCGAACCTAATCTTTTCTGTCCAGCTTGGGTCCAATGTATTTCATTGATTCCGAGCAGCGCCAAATTGTTTCTTCTCATTTCTATAGCTATTTGATTAGTTCTTCCGGTCTCCCATATTGTTCGGACATTCCATGTACCTATACTAACTGTTGCTCCGGTTCTTAGATGGACATCGGCCTCGTGACTTCCGAATAATCTCGGCTTTCAACATGAGGCCTCATAGTTCTGAATGAAGATCCTTCAACTCAGAGGGAAAAGTTTAAATAGTTTGAAATGTTTATTCTGGTCAGCGTTTTTTTAGCAAGGTTGTTTTCTACGGGATGGGGTTGTTGATTCTATGCCCAACCCCCTTCTTTTGTGTGGGCTCGGGACCGGCAATAACCCTAGAAGAGCTACATGTGGAGTTAAGAAAAGTGATAACTCCAGTCTATTTGTAAGACAATCCAGGTCAGTTTCAAGTAAATTTATTCTAAAGAAGTGGAAGATTGTTGAACATCATCCAGAACCTTATGTTGAAGAAAGGGAGATGTTACGACGAATGACGATTAGACATCAAGTTGATTTCCCTACAAAAGACTTATGTATACTTATCCAAATAAATATGTGCATTTGTTAGAAAGGTAGGTACCAACCATACGGTTATGTATTAATTCTGTACTATATTCGTCTAATTTATGGTTATTCAAATTTAACGAATGATCGATGTGAAGTACATCTCTATATCAATGAGTGTATTGATATATCATTTAGAAAAATCTAGTATTTTGATATGAAATTAATATTCGTTTATCATTGGTTTGTCTTTTTCCTTGTACAGGGCCGTATCACAACGCCCCAGTTCACGAAATATGTTTTACAAGTAGTGTATGTTTGTTTAAGATGTGTTTGTTGTATCAAGGCTTTTATGTTGCATTTCGGAATAGTTCGTTACCATTTCTTTTCGACGTCGTGCTTTAATCAAATCTTGTTATATGACGAACCTAAGTTTGTAATTAGTTTTCCAGTCCTTGACTGTGAAAAGATTTGTTTGTGTCCACTTATCAACCGTTTTATATGATCATGATATCTGAAACTAGGATGTCAGATGCTTGGGAATTGATCTTTACCTATATTTCAATTTTAGTTACTTATAAGTAATGTATTTTGTTTTGTTTTAATATTATTGTCCTTTTTAAACATCATTTAGGTTTATTTTACTACATGTGACTATTATTATTAGTACGGCGTTTTGTAGAGCTTGTTGAATTTCCATAGTTTAGATCACTAACTAATATTCTTAGACCATCACTGAAAATTCTGAAGTACTGGGTGGCTGTTCTGCTCTAGAATTGGATTCATCTGGAGTGCCCACCCACGACCTCGCTACAGGGTACTGAAGCCCGAACCTTCGGTCTCGCGTGCAAACGCTTAACGTTTATACCACCGATTCAGCATCTAACGTTATTAATGTCAAACTTAAATCATTTCACGACATTGTGCAACCCTCACCAACTATCTGAGATGGACGAGTCCCATACTAGGATAAAAATGACGTCCACTAATTCCACGTATTCAATAGTGTTCTAACTAGAATCAGATCAGTTAGTGACTTAAATCATGAATGTAAATATTATTTTTACATATTTTTCCATATTGATTCACAACTTTATAGTATTACTCCCCACGAAGTACTTAAGTTGTCTCACGGTTTTAGTGGCTTCAAAAAGTCGTTCAACTTCTATGATAAAGCACTAGTCTAAATTCACTTCTTATGCAAAAAGGCTAAAAATCACGAATTTTACTGTCATTTAGTAATAATGAAGAGAATTCAGCGAAAAAGATTTTCTTTTCGACAAAATTATCTTAAGTCGTACATTCGTTTTTGTAGTTGTATGGTAAAAATCTCCCTATAGAAGGATAGGAATGATTGTATCATAAAGTGATTGGAGACTGCATGCTAAAACGATATGTCCGACCTCTCATCCTAAATCCATTCTGTAGTATGTTTTGGTCCTGTTTTTTTAAATTGATGTTCTAATTTTAAATCGTTATCAGTTATTATTATCCTTTAACAATTTTTCATGATTATTTTTGAGTTATTACGTTTTTCATTTTCCTGCATATTTATCAAGCGGACAATTATCTTTCATAATTCTGACCCGTACATTATTCTCATTCTTATATTCTCCCCTAACCCTCTGATTATTACGCACCCTCGTTCGATATTTGGAGTCTCCAGTCACTTTATGATGCAATCTTTTTTATCCTTCTGTAGATATATCTTTACCATATAACTATAAAAACGATTGTACAGCTTAAGTAGATGATTTCGTCGGAAAGAAAATTTTCTTCGCTGAACTGTCTTTATTTTCATTCAACAATGTATTGGGTTATTCGAATTTTACCGTCTTAAATAGTTTTTGTTGATCATGCATTACAATGTTGTACGTCAAAATGATTATTTAGTCAAATTAGAATCATTTACTTCTAAAATAATCGGAATCGACTTTTTTTAAGTTAAAAAGATTATCTTTAATTAGTTGTAGGATTTTCGAACGCAACATTTAACTTAACAAATTATATCATTGTGAACTAATTTCATTCATGAAAAATTTATGAAATATGTAATAATCTCAGAAAGGGGTTTTTGTGGATATTATAGTAATTTTAATAGTTGAGTCCATAAGTCAATTGGATGCGCACTGCTAAGAAATCCCACACTAGAACCAAACGGCCGTACAGTGCTTCTAGGTTTTCCATGGTGGTCTAGCTCCAATTGACTCATGAACTCAACTATTTAAACATGCATTAGACAAGCTTTTTTTATTTTGACAAATTTATAACAGTGTTTGAATTCACACAAACTCCTGTCTTAAAATTATCTATTTTTCCAGTAGTGAATTTACTTTTAAACAACCTCATTAAATACGAATTTCAATGGTTGAATATATTTGAACATTTCATGAAACAGCTTTTATATTTTTATTTTTATTTTCGGATACAGACTACTTTCTAACTATACTGTTTTTATAAGCCAAGATGTACAGTGGCTAGCAGTGGGATCCAGGACGCGCGTTTCGTCCTATTTGGGACTCTTCAACTGAATGTACCTGCATCTTAGAGTTGATGTTCACTCCACGACCCGAACCCAGTACCGTTCCCTTCAAACGCCATCGCGTTATCTACTTAGCTACTGAGTCCTGGTAGCCACTTGCTTGTGCAATGGGGTGAAGTCTAAGTCCACTTGATATTATTTACTTAAATCTTCCCATTGATGTTTAGGACTGCAATTGATCGGTCTTTTATTGGCATATATTCATACTGTGCGTATTGCCTCAATTCACAAGCTTTATAAGCAATGAGAGATTGATTAATTGCAGTCCTAAACATCAATGGGAAGATTCAAGTAAATAATACCTATTGAATTTATACTGTTATTATATTCAATTAGTTACTTTGACAAATTTAAACAAAATAAGAACAATTTCAAATTTGAAGAAAAAGTGATTTATTTATCCAATGAAGAGTAAATTTTTTAAAATGTGAATAAAGTTAAGAGTTAGAGTTTTAAACCAAGTTTTCATAAATGTTTAAAATGATAATTCTAGAGTGTTTTAATCCATTTTTATTACGTAATTATTACAAAGAAATGTAACAAGATTAAAATTGAAAAAGGCTTTGAAGTTGAACTCGTTGAATTTTGGTTGTAAATAATTGAAGAATAAGAATATATTTAAATGATTGTTACCATGGCAATGCACATTAACAACTGACTTTTTGAATACAAAGCTCGGATTTAAAACTTCTAATTCCCATTGTTTTTACGAATTTCAATAAGGCAAAATTGGATTGTTTGTTGATCACCTTGAATGCATTTATTACACAAACTCACTTTATAATATCTTACATGTGGTATGTTATCGAACTTAAAGGACTGATTTATTTTCAGAGATACGCTAAATAAAACATGTAGAAGTTCATCTTCCTGTCGTTCTACTGAAAATGCTTTGAGTTTACATGTAAATTGATATGTGAATTTGGACGGGATATACAACCCTTGCTGCTGCTGCCTTGACGTGGTGGTCGGACATGCCTATCATAATGAATCAATCGAGCTATACTGGATGGAACAACCGTTCCTCAAGGTCCTACCATGTCAGACAGGTTGGTTGATGAACAGTAAAACTAAAAGCAACAAACCCAAGGTCCGAAGGCGAAGTCGTACTGCTGACTGTACAGAGGTGTGACGGCAGTAAGGTGTTTCCTTTAGACAACGTGCATAACAGCGATTCTGCCTCCCCACAACGAGGCGTGGGGTTAGGAAGGGTCGATCCTAAAAATGCACACATCGCTATATCCTACTGAAATCCGTCTCCGACGGTAAGGTCTCAACAAGTACGGAGCTAACACAAAAAGGGTCGTGTGTGACTGACCTCAAGCAGTTGTCCTCGGGCACTGCGGTCACCCTCCCAGGTCACTAAGACCACCTCTAATCCAATTTCCTTTTCAGGTACTTCCAGAAGTACCTTTCTAGCATGTGGGCAGCCGGGATGTGATAACTGCCCTCATATCTCTAACAGCACTAGCAACGTGTTGTGTTCAGTGAAGACAGTTATGCTAAAAAGAATTTCTTAAATTTGCGTTCAGTCTTTGATTAGTTTTATTTTTGCTTTGATCTGGTAATTCTTAAATATTGTAGAAAACCCTGTGTAAAAATTTAACTCTTAGCTTTTTCTACCTACTCCTGCACCAACCGAATCTGTGATATATAAACAAGTGCACCTTATGCTTGAATGAAAATGTACAACCTCATCCCATCTATATTCAAAACCTTCCTTCAAACTCAGTTATACTCATTATTTAGTGCTTCCACCTTATCTTAATACGTTCAAAAATATCAGAAGCGGTTGTGTGGATATTATAGTAATTTCAGTGGTTGAGATCATGAGTCATTCGAAGCTAGACCACCACGGGAAACCTGGAAGCACTGGACGGTCGTTTCGTCTCATTGTGGGATTCCTCGCAGTGCTCATCCACGACCCCGCCTCACGAAACTCGAACCCAGGGCGTATCGGTCTCGCGAGCAAAAGTAGTGAGAAGCAGTGATTAGTGAAGTCCGACCGGATTTGTTGTGAAATAGTAACTCACTGAAGGCAATGGTGGGTGTGTTGCTCAATTTCGTGGATTGATTGAAGTTAGATTTTAACACTGTTGGATGCTGGCTCAGTGGTCTGGAGGTTGGAGACTGATATGTTCTGGGTTCGAATCTCACAAGGCTGGATTGTGGATGCGCACTACTGAGAAGTCCAATGTTTCCAGGTTTTTCATGGTGGTCTAGCTTCAATTGACTCATGATCTGAACCATTAAAATTACTTTCAAAAGTATCTATTGATCACCTTACATCTAATTAATCATGATTTTTACTTGTTTATATTCTTCAATGACTTCAAGAAAGAATTTTTTTGGGTGGAATTTGTTTAGAGTCATGAAAACATTTCATTCATCATCATCAAGGCAAATTTCCTAATTATTTATTACTTCTCATTAATCGGGATGGTAATTCACATTTTAATTAATTTCATATTTTAATCATATTAAATTGCATTTTTGTCATTGTTTTTTATTCATTTTAAAATGTAATTAGATTATCACTTTATAAATATCTAGGTCAGTTGTCTTTCTTTATGGTAATAGTATTCGTTTTCTTTTGATGTTTGACTTATCGTGTCCTTAGTGAGAACGTACTTATTTCTTTGATCATTAAATCGGTTATCATTCGCTTTTTTCTTTATTAAAATTGTTCTTATTTCAACATATTGGGAATTATTTTTGATCAGTGAATTTTTAAAAGATAATTCGTAAATTTTGTTTACTAATGACGAAGTGAATAGGAGTGAGTTAAATGGTTTAATTGTATAGTATTTGTTGTTCTCGACAACATCATCAGAGATTTCTTACGTGAAAGTGAATTATTTGACTGTTCCATACAACTTTGAAATTTCCAGAAGAATATACATGTATGGATGGAATATTTCTCAAGTAAAGCTTTACATTATCATCGCAATGTAATGCATTTATTTGAATAACATTTTATATTATTTTTCCTTTAATTTATAGAGTCGTCGTTATGCATTTCCGCATATTTTCACAGTGAATTTCAGTTTACCAAATGTTTGGTCAGATTATTTGGAGCCAGAAGCGGATCCTGTTATCCCTGAACATCGATATGCAATAGCAATAATGAATTGTTTTGCATCTGCAGTTGCCCAAGCTCGTTCGATGGGTATCAACGAAGGAATTCTCGATAAGCCTTTATGTGTTCAGTGTGTTTGTTCCGATGGAGTATATTTTGATTTTGTTACATTTCAGTTAAATAATATGGATGTACCTGATTATCAGCTTAGTCGTAAGTTAGATCATACTGCGCCCAAAAATTTTGCTTGGATTGATGGAAACTATCGTTTATTCAAAAAAATTATACCTAAGAAACACATGATGCGTAATACGAAATATCGTGATATAAATATGAGTGTATTTGATCGCCTCTCAAGTTACTATTTATGTGGATTGACCAACACTTCCTTTAATATAAATGAATCTTTAATCCCTGAACTAAATACAATTAACAACCAAATCCAGGAATAAAATATTAATTTATGCAAAGAGCTCACAGATAAGTTTACAAGTGACAATAATTTGTAATTGCATTTTTTAAACTTTCTACTTAACACTTGTGTAAATACCGTGTACTTTTTTCACTTACCTGCCTTTTGTTGTATAATAAATAAATGATTTACAATGATTACTGTTTTTTAAAAATTTCTTATTAACTCTGTACGTATGTAAGCGTATAGTCAGTTATGGTATTCACTGCTTTGCTACAAAACAACATATTTACATTGGTTAGTATCTGTTGAGCTTTATGAAGCTTCAGCTGTGTAGAGCGTCTACTCGTCCAGCCACAGAATTGTGTAGTCGCTCCATTGGCATTTACATAATATATGGCAATTACAGTGGAGAGTATCAAAATTATGTGATCATTAGCTGGCGTTCTTTTTCTGTGAGATTTTAACGAAATCATCCATCGTATGGAGAATAAGGACAACTAATGTTTGAGCGTTTTTCCTCAGTGTAATGGCTTATCTTTTTCATATAATGAAAGTTCTAGGGTTTTTCGTTTGTTAGAATAAGCCTCAGGCATAATTCATAGAAAAACTGTTACTTCATAGTGCTAATTTTCATCCTACTTATACTGTCATTTCAAATTATGTTGTAGTACTGTGTTTAAGGCGAGATTTTTGTAACAAAAAGTTAAAGGATGGAATTAATGATATTACCTTGCTTTTCGGTTAATATTACTGACTTTTAATATTTGAAGTAATTTGTTTCTGGATAAAGGATAAATTGGATACATAAAAATCTCTAAAGCGTAACCGGATCACATACATACTAATGTCATCTTAGGTCACAATACTTTCAGCTTAACTTTAAAAAGCTGAACGGAATTTAGCGCAAATATTGTAGTTAATGTCCAAATTAAAACAGATTTCCGTCAACAGATCGATTATTGAATTTTATGCAACACTCCTTTCTTCCTTCCAGATTGAACTTACCTTCCATCACGGATTACACGGATTACATTATTGAATCTATGTTTACTTCAGCAAATAGATTCGAAAAGTTTGCTTGTGTAATATGACATTTAATGACTTGGATAATTATCAGCAGGATGTATAACTAGTAGTAACAGTAAATATTTACTTGATCAAAATGGTCAAATTTTAAAAAGTAGAAACTTCTAATAACTATCACCACAAACTTCATTGGTATTCATAGCTTAAGCATCGATGTCACATAACTTCTGATGGTTGGTAACGTTCTGACAGAAGACCAGCTCAACAGTTTGAAGAATCAACTCACTTGTTTCATGTAACCAGTTTTAGTGAATGAATAATCCATCCTCAGTTAATGATACGTAATACCTTACCTCATGCTATAATATGTTTCGCAATCATTAAGTTAACCAAAAAGCAATCATCACTTAGCTAGTAAACAGTAATGTCAATAAATCAGTGTTAGTATTGAATTTCAGAAAGTGCAGTTTAATGTACAAAGCATTTAGCTATACTGTCTGTTTAATGACCGATTGTAGTAACCTGCTACTTGAAGCTACTTACTCTTTCTTTGATTGAAAACAGATATCCATTAGTCAAAAGCTTGATACACCATTAAATTAATTAGCAATTATTACAACCATTGATTATTCTGCTCTTAATAGCCATCAAGTGGATAATCATCTTCACCTCACCACTTTTCACCACCCAGTTATTACATAATTTCCTTTCGACATATGATTTTCCTAAACAATTCATGACAAGATACACTCCAAGTTTTTAAAATATTCTCTTTTACTATAGGCTACTATTTTAGCAAATAAAATTAACTATGAATACAATCGTATAGCTTAAGTAAATGAAATCGTAGTAAAGAAAATTTTCTTTACTGAATTACTTTCCTTCTTCGATGACATTATGGGTCTCTTTCGTTATTTGAAGTAGGTATGCCAAATTTAAAGTTTTAACCTTTAGTTAAAATCTAAATAATATTAGCTCATATATACATTTTTACGTTCTACAGTAGCGGACAATGATTAAAATAGAATCAAAGTTGTAATTAGATCATTCATTAAATAAAGCAACTTAATGTATACTTTTTAATGATATTTCAGTCGTTAATTACAATATAAATTAACAATAATTTTCGTAAATGTTGATCAAATTCCTCTATTACATACGTTTTGTATGTATTCAAGCGAGGTATCTATGAATTAACTACTTTCATCTAGTTGTTCTAAACGAGATTTATCAATTGCACTGAGTTCTACTCTTAGCCACCAAATAAAATATAACCAACTTGTAGTATCAAGACATCTAACCAAGTATAGTCTTAAATATCAATAGGAAATTACATTACATTATTACTTCTATTACTCTGGTATTTATCCTGATAATTTCACCTAACTATGCTTATTTATCGTGTGAATCCAAACCGATTCACATACGCTTATGACTGACCGATAAAACTGCACAAATATAATTGTACCTTGGAAGTTACATTACTTACTTACTACTGTTACTCCTAATGGAGCATAGGACGCCGACCAGCATTCTCCAAACCACTGTCCTGAACCTTTTATTCTAGTTTTATCCAATTGTTGTTCATTCTTCTCATGTCTGTCTCCATTTCTCGGCGTAATGTGTTCTTTGGTCTTCCTCTTCTCCTCTTACCTTGAGTATTCCAGGTGAGGACTTGTCTTGTGACACAGTTAGGTACTTTTTTCAATACATGTCCTAGCCACTTCCATCGCTTCTTCCTGATTTCTTCCTCCTCTGGGATCTGGTTTGTTCTCTCACACAGGATGTTGTTGCTGATAGTGTCTGACCAACGAATCCGAAGATTTTGCGTAGACAACTGTTAATAAACACTTGTATCTTCTGGATGATGGATTTCGTAGTTCTCCAAGTTTCTGCCACATAAAGTAGAGTTGTTTTGACATTTGTATTGAAAATTCTGAAAAGAAAAATTCAAGTTACATAATAGTTGTTAAAAATGTAGTGGTTCTCGACAAATACTTCAAGTGATACTGAAGTGTCCTAAGGATATCAATCTTAAAATTATTGTTTGCTTTTAATCTAATCCTATTGTTAACTGTTTGTGAATGACTTTCATGGCCTTTAATATAGTTCATTTTTTTAAAAACAACATTTAGTTGCCCGGGTTCTTACTCCAATTGGATTGTATGAATACTATTGACATACGTATGTCGGCTATCCTCGTATATAATCATCAACTTAAATCGCGTTAGTGAATAACAGAATTAAATAAGTCAAATACGAGAATGAATGTTTGAATACGTATATATTGTACACTCGTTGGTCGGAACAGACAACCAGAGAATCGCAGCGAAGAAGAGAGAGCAAAGCGAAACCAAAGGACGCGCAGTGGAGAAGGCGTGTGAACTAGCTCCGTTTAATCAAGCAATAATCAATATTTATATCCAGATAAAAATAAGTTACAGACATGTGATGAATAGGATAAGAAGTGTACACGCATACGCTCATATAAAAACAGTCAGGGTTGAAAAGTGAATAATTAACAAAGACAAAACGCGACTCAAGTAGAACGGATAAATTGGCTTGTTCAGAAGCTAGAATAAGTTATATGGCCTTAACATAGCAACGACACTACAAACATTCCGCTCAGATAAAATCTATTCAATGTTTTTTCAATCCATTTATTATATTTATCTATACAATAATACATATTATATATTTAATTAATATGTACATGGGTGTGACATTCTGTATTAGAATAGAAAAGTTGTCCAATACTCTATGGTTTTCAGTGCCTTCCTTGACAAATGTCAGTTAATGATATAGTTTGTTCTAAATAATCTAAGCATTTTTTAAAATAACCTTATGTTGTTTCCTCATTTTGCTAGGTAGATAGATAATTTTTATTCTATACTGATTCATAATTTCAGTAACACATAAAGCAAATGACCTATTCAGAGATTACTTCCTGTTGTGAACAGGGAAAGAAGAAGCCCTGAGAAACTACGAAAGCTATTTTTCGGGAAATTATTTCATTGTATGCAAAGCTTGTAAATCACTAACATTTATTTTTGTCCCTAATCTATTCTACAGAACCTAAGCTTTCGTTCGAGGTGTGATTCATTGCAATAACCTTTTCTGTTCCGAAGCTATTGTAATTTAACCATAATATTTTGCACCCTATTTTCTACTCTAATTCCCAGCTTTGGACATAATTGTATTTTTCCTAATTATTCTACATTGTGGTAGGGTTAGTCACCTATTTATTCATGTACCTTGTTACACTAATCTGTAACCAGAAGAAATCAGGAATAGATCGAGTAGTGTTCCAGTTGTCTTGCCTTCTCTCATTCGCGTACTTCTCAGCCAATCAGGTGATAGAATATTTTTCTTCTCTCTACCGCATTTCGAACTCGCGCGTCTAGCCTCAAGGTCAGGTCGGTCAGCCTATCGCGCCAAGTTCTTAATCTGGATTAGATAAGTATCCTCAGCACCAAAAGTGGGTAGCCAGACTAAAGGAAATAACACTTCCTAATTGAACTGATTTGAATTCGTCAGTAAGCAGAAAGTATGAAAATGTCTAGTTAGTAAAAGAAATGTAGTTTTTATGGTGTAACTCAGGCGGATAGGGTTCGTAGTGTAGCATTCTTTACGTTGAATAGCTTCGTTGAGAAGCTGACATTACTATTCTTAGGAAGTTTGAAATCTGTAAGAATAATACTAATGTGAGATCCATGTAGCCTTGTGTATACGCTTGTGTGGAAATATTTTGCCCCCCGTGATGAGTTTGTTGAATGTACATAGATTTGCAAATCTTTCTCCATTTTCGTTTTTTTCTCCCAGTCCATGTCGTCCCATAATATCTTCATATCCAGTGTTGTCTATTCCGACTTTGGCATTTAGATCTCCCATCAGAATGGTGAGGTCCTTTCTTGGGCAATTCTCTATGATTGACTGCAGCCGCTCGTAGAACTGATCTTTAATTTCGTCGTTGCTATCATTGGTGGGTGCATAATATTGGATAATATTCATTGTGATCCCCTCCTTCTTTGTTTTGAATGATGCTTTGATGATTCTGGATCCGTGAGATTCCCATCCTACAAGTGCATTTCGTGCTACTTTGGACAGCATTAG